TCCGATGTGCAAAATACAGAATCTAACAGAAAAATTACGATAATTTCCATTCAACAAGAAAAAATCTTGTATATGGTATGAAGTGGAATGATTGGGCACTCTCCTATCTAACCAGTTAAGAATTTTTGATTGTATATGGATCAGATACACTGAGGATGCCTCGAATGTAAACCGAAACGTCTGATTTCTTCGTATTTAATATATCATTTGTTTGCACGATTTAATGCGGAAAAACGCTCATTAGCCTGTTCTCTGTTTATATTTTGACTTGTATTTATATATGATATAAAATGAAGGTAGAAACAAAGAAAAGAAAAGTCTCTTTATTTCTTTAAATTAAAATTGAAGGCATATTGAGAATAAAGATCAATGTGGGATCACGATTTAATACAGCTTATTTTATCATTTGCTGCTTTAATATTTCGATAAATGTACTAATTACATTCGGGACACATTTCGATGACGGTTTAAAATACATTGCTTAGCCATACACTTTTGTGTACAGAGAGAGAATTGTAGCTTTGTTTGTGCTCGAAAATAAATAATAATTAATTTTTTTCTGCAAGTAAAAAATTATACATGTTTTACGGCACATTTTTATTTGTCGCCGACACATCATTCTTTACCATGTTGGAACTTTCAGCTTCAATATTCTTGATATTGCTAGCATCGGATAACGATTCAGTGGGTACCGGTACGTAAAAGAATTGAAGTATTGAAAAATGGAATCGAGTATAATTTATTATATAAAATTATCACATACTTTTACCTCGACGAGGTAGTTTGGTCAAAGTATAGGTATAAGGAGAATACTTATCGTCCTAATAGGCCACGAAAAGGATGATTCGCAGGCAATCAATTTACCGATACAGATCCTATGGAAGGATCGAGTTCATCAGCAAGAAAATTACATTTTGCAAATACAGAACTGATTGTTATTCGACTCAGTATTACCGTATCATTGAATTTTTAACTATTTTTGGCGGAATTGCGGGAATGGTTATTTGCAGACATTGTAAACAAAATATAACATTTGGCGAATCAGACCATCGTGGTTTTGGTTTCAAAGTCGTAATTAGATGCCGATGTGGTCAAACACCAATCAACTGCGGTCCTTCCATTAAAAATGCTTACGAAATCAATCTTAGAATTGTGTTTGTTATGAGATTATTAAGCATTGCTAGAGAAGGCATAAACATCTTTCGTGGGCTTATGGACCTCGGCCAAGGCCTAAGTTCAGTCTGCGTATGTATTGAATTTTTTATGTATATGTTTATTCACTGAAAAAAATGTTATTCATAATATCAATGAATGACATTTATTGACTTTAAATTCATTGATATAATGAACTTTTAATAGATATTATGAATATTTTATTGAGTATTTTTTATTAGCTAATAACTGGATTTATTAATATAACA